TGGATAACGTACGACAGCACAGAACGAACGTTCTGAAACCACTGCAAACCAGTGTGGAACGCGCTGTGACTGTAAGATAGGACTCCTCATTTTGTTGTGCAAACAAGGCGACAGGCAGCACACTGCATGAAGTTTGTGAAATCCCTGCGCAGAAACCATGGAGGTACGCAGCTGATATCACGGGCAAAAATCCGGTCTTGGCAAAACTGTATGATGCAAAACCCTTGTCTTGTTTCATGAAGCTCAACTAATTTGATTGGAATAACCACTTTTCGGAACTATGTTTGTTGAAAAAGAAAGGTGAGAAAGAGAAGAATGAAAATGGAACATGGCCAGTGGACAACCGAAATCGGCAAGCTTATATGTTTCTTGTAAATAGCTGTAAATAAATTAGTTTTCATTAATTAGGGATACCATCTTCATTTTTGCACAAAGCTTTGGTGCCAAAACCCGGGAGTTACAGCTAATTCAAGAGATACTTCGAGGATCTATCTTGGATTCGACAATGACCGAAGCAATGCACTCCGCAGGCCATGGAAAGTCTTCATGGGAAAACAAACTACCCTTCGATCTAAGATGACCAAACTTCTTTCCGGAATCGATTCTTACATCGAGAGCAACGAGAAAAACCAAGGGAACTTTGTCATCTTATCATCAAGACTGTGGAGACTCAAGAACAGACAACCGTTTCGCTGGTGTCCACACTCGTTCTAACCCGCCCTCCTCCTGAGCGCGCGCTCGCTTGACGCGAATCACGAGCAATTAATCGAGTTGGACAACGTCACCGAGCCACTCATACCGGACGGAGAAGGAGAACAAAACTTCGTACGAACGATTGAATATAGTGATCGGATCGTCACATATGTTGCGAAAATTCAAGAAGAATTGGAAAATGTCCGAGCAATGGGATCACAACATTCTAATTCTTTGCTGATGAATAACGACGGAAACCCGACAACGGCTGCTTCATTCATTCATTCATTCAATGCTTTATTTCCAAATTTGTTCTCAAAATACACAAAAACTGTTTGGACCCATAGCCGTTCAGGCTAGTCCGGGGTCCAACACAATATAGGTTCAAAAAGCGGCAGAATACAATAGACTCGTACAATGTGCAAAAGAAGCAAAAAAAAAAATCGCGTTTTAGAAAGTACTTAGCGTAACTGCATTTCATAATCACGAAAGAATCTTTTTAAGGAGGGCAGAAAGTTGTTTTCCAACTTTATGTTAATAGGTATTTCATTCCAAACTAGAGCACCATAAAATGCAATCATATGCATTATGGCATGGCGGTAAATTAAACATATTATTTGCTGCAGCCCTTGTTTGTTTCCTGGGAGATTGAAATTAATTCAAAGAAAGGGGTTCACTAGACTCTATGATCTTACGAACTGTTTGAGCTATTTTTAATTTGTAAATACAACTGAATGGCAACACGTTTAGCGATTGGAAAATAGGTCTGCTAGGGTTAGTGTTTCTTGAAAATGTTATACAGTTGAACCTCGATGTAACGAAGTCGGTAAAATTCGCAATTTACTTCGTTACATTGAAATTTCGCTAAATCGAAATTTGGCTTTAGCATGGAAAAAAAAAAAAATTCCGAAACATTTTACGAGTATGAAAACTCACCAAAAATGACATTTATTTAGGGGCAAAGTAGTCCGCGAGTTTTGCTTGCGCCTTGTCCGACAGTAGCAGCGGCGTCGGCGGCGTCATACGGCGTTCGAGCGCCCAGAGCGCTTGCACGGCATCTTGCTGCCCATGCGACGCCGTGTAACTTCTCAGTACGTCCATTGCGTCGAGCACTTCCCGAGTGCTCGTGATCTCGGCAGTTTCTTCAGGATGGCGTCCAAAACGTTTGCTTTCTCATCCAAAGAAAGAACTTTACGTTTCCTTATGGCAGCAAGCACGTAACTGAACCGCCCGGTTAAAAAGTAAAGCAGTTTAGTTTAGGTGGTGCCAATGTTTCCAACCTACACAGCACTCTTGACCGCACAGTTTACTTGCCCCCTTGCGCCCACAGTGTGCTTGCGCCTTTGCTTTACATCACGCTCGCAAGACGAGCAAGACGATAATCGGTCTTTTCGGTCTTCTCCTAGATGGCACTGCCCGTGCGGTCGCGCGGTCGCGCCATCACGTCGCTCCCCCGCTGAAGTTGGCTCCCGCGCTACCCGCGGTACAGTGGACTATGATGATCAGCGAATGTCAGTGGTGATGCTGTTATGCCGTGTTAACGTTTTGCTCGGCATTTTCTGGCCAGCCTCGCGGAATCCGCTTTGCCGCATGCCTCGCCGGCGCTACCGGCGCCGCATCCTCGGGCAGCCTAGGAACGTTGGAAGGCCTGTCCCCGTGAAGTAACCTATCAAGCGCTCGCATTTGCGCATAATTTTTTTTTTTAACCACAATTTTTTTGCGAAGTTGTTTTTTAGAGTTGATTTATTTATTGCCTTCTATGGCAATGGCGCTTCGTTATATCGAAATAGCAGCAAAATAGACTTCGTTATATAGGGACTAAAAATACATGGGGTCTATGGGCAAGAAATTATGAAAAATAAAATACTTCGTTAAATCGAGGATTTCGTTACATTGAAGTTCGTTATATCGAGGTTCGACTGTAAATCGTATCGCCCGTTTTTGCAAGCGAGTTGCCGGATCTAAGTATGTCGCGTATTACCCCAGGATTCAATACAACAAACCAGCTGACTGTGGACGAATGCAAAATAGAGTACGCGCAAAATAAATAAATCAAAACATTCGCATGCTTTTAATAATGTATAACAACCATATGCAATTTTCGAACACATGTGCTTAATTTGGCTTTTCCGGTGCATCTCAGAATCAAACAGAACACCTAAATATTTATAACAAGTAACATGTTGTAATTCCGTATTATCTAATTGTATAACTATGTCGTCGTAATTAATCGCCTTCTCTTGGAATGAAACACTGTATATTTAGATTTCTTTAGGTTGATTGTAAGTTGATTGCTCGTGAACCATGTCAGTACTCTAGTCAATTCCTCATTGATTTTACCCTGTAATTCGCCTATCGTGTCCCCAACAAAAATCAGTGCCGTATCGTCGGCGTACATTAATGCTTCTAAGTATTTTAAAATCGACGGAAAATCATTTACATAAAGAGAAAAAAAGGATGGGCCCAAGAACTGAGCCCTGTGGTACTCCAGTTAACACCTTTTGAGGGGTAGAGATAAAATTATTTATTACTACGCACTGTTTACGGTTAGAGAGTTAGCTATTAAACAACTCCGACGATTTCCCCCAAAAGCCATACTGGTGGAGTTTATAAAGCAAGATACTATGATTAATTGTGTCAAATGCTTTTTTTATATCTAAATATACAACGGCCATTTTACGTTCATGGAGAGCTCTGTTGAGATGTTGAGTTAAGACAAAAACAGCTGAGGACGTGGATCTATTTGGTCTAAATCCGTGCTGATTGTGGCAAAATATTGAGTATTTAGTTATAAAGTCCTTTATACGTTTGCATATTATTTTTTCAAAAACTGTGTTAATTCTACTTAAAACTGAAATTGGTCTATAGCTGGACGGTGTCGAAGAATCTCCATCTTTAAAAATAGGTACAACTTTAGCTATCTTCAGCTCGTTAGGATATATTCCACTAACGTGTGATTAAACAGGTGTAAAAGATGAATACCTAAAATATCAATATTATCTTTTAATAGTTTAATAGGAATTGTATCTAGGCCTGCGGCTTTACGTATTCCAAGATTCCCAACTACTGATATTATTTCATTAACTTCAATTTCTTGCTTTACAAAGCTATTTGTAATTGGTGTCAATGACTGCTGGGGACCAGGTGCATACGGCAACTGAGCTGCTAGGAGAGGCCCTATATTAGTAAAATAATCATTAAAAGTGTCTACCGTGTTCTGTTCGATTAAATCAGGTAATACATGTTTATTTGGACGAAGGCCAATAGCATCATTGACAGTGTCCTAAATTATTTTAATGTTTCCATCCGCTTGCCTAATTTTAGTTGAGTAATATTCCTTCTTTCTTTTTCTCAACATAGAAACCGATCTGTTCCTGAAATGTTTAAACTGGCTTAAAAAATAATTATTATTTCTATGTTGTGTCTATTTGTGATACCATTTATCTTTTTCCTTTAATACCCCTAAAATTTGGCTTGTCATCCAAGGACAAACCGGTACATTGTATTTATTAGACGTCTTTTTTCATGGCACTCAACGTTATCGCGTTTTTGAGACTAGTAAGGAGTTGTAGTATTCAATGTGAACGTTTTGATTATAAGTGGAGTATATATCTAGCCGTTCTAATACCCTGCAAAGCTGCGCATAATCTATTTTGGTGTGCTCTTCAGGGCGACAAGATTTTCTTTTATGAATGATCTCTTTTTCTAAAACAAGAAAAATGGCCAAGTGGTCAGCTATTAAGCTTGGGTAAACACCAGCATGGGCATCCGTATCAGTATTGCAAAGAGCATGATCAATGAACGTACTGGAGGTGCTAGTAATGCGAGCAGGTTCAGTAATGAAGTTGCGTAAGTTGAAAAAGCAGCGTATAGCTATTATGCATATCACTAGCCAGATCAATATTAAAGTCCCCAACAACTACAATACGATCATTCTGTCCATTAGGCAATGCCGTAAGTACTGCCTCAAATTTTACAAAAAAAGAGCTTACTAACAAGCTTGGAGGTCGATACACTACACTGACTATTACGCCACAATCAAGCTATATAAAGAGTGCTTCAATGACATCATCACTAATAGTGGCACGCAATAAAACCTGGAAAACAATATTTTCTTTTGCAAAGAACGCGACGCCTCCACCTCTCGTATGTGTATCACGTGAAAGAGATGATAAATTGTAGCCATGCATAACAATGGTTTCATTGTTTTTTAACCAAGTTTCTTTTACTGCGATTTCATCAAAACCAGGCACATGCTGGGAAACATGCCCAACTAAAGAATTAAAATTTTTTCGTAAACTACGTACGTTGCAGTGGAAAATCGAAAGCTTATCTTCGTTCTGTATCAGTTGTTCAGCATGCTCAAAAGTGAAAGACATGATAATTGTAGTACAAGTCTTTGTGTCAGGTTCAGAACAGTTACACCACCCTGATCAAATCCCCCTCACATGTGATCTGCAAGGCAGGCGAGTTCTCTGGACCTTGCCCTGTGACACCCAAACATATTTCCTGTTTTTCTCTCGCTTTGCCTGGCGAGCTTTGTTTAATAATACCTTGTTTTCGACACAAAGATCTTCATTTATATAAAGTGGATCATTAGCCTGAAATCCAAGGTGGGTGGTGTTTAACCTCGTCTTAGACGCTGATAGCCGCCTGTCACGCACCCCACGAGAGGCGAACGTTACCACAACATTGGGTTTCTTTTTGTCCCTCGACTGTACCCAATGTACAACGTCGATGTCACTCTCAGATACCTCGGTTCCAAGACATGTAGCAGTTGCCCTCACAGATGCTGTCAGGTCCTCGTTTGTCACAACTGGAAGCCCTTTGATTTCGACATTCATATTCCTACTGTATTGTTTCAGTTCTACTATTTCTCTCTTTGCTTCACCGAGCTCCCTGCCAAGCTGCTGGTTTTCCTGGAGTAGCCGAGAACTTTGTTTTTTTACTTCCGTTAACTCTTGGCGGAAGCCCACATCCTTCTTGACTTGCTCAACATCCTTGTTCAGGAATGTGATCGATTCTCGTATACCAACGAGCTCGGCATGGATCTCAGTGTTCGCACTTGACACCTTCGCGACATCTTTTTTATGTCTGTCGCAAATGCATCTAGCTTAAGTACTAGGTCGCTTAGAACACTGACGATTTCCTTTATGCTATTGGGTGGCTTCTCTCCCATAGCCTTGGCGACATTACTCAGGTTTCCAGGATTTGAATCTGCCATAACTCTAAGTTCCAAACACAATAAAAAGTTATTTTGCACCCCGCTACAATAGCTATACACAAGGCAAAACACGGTGCACAGAGGACACTTGTGGCAGCAACAGCGACAGCAAAATCCAGACTTTTAAGAACTTAAAAAGGTAAACCACCAACCTGTAAAAATGCAGAGACGGTTATCGAACATCCTTCTGCTGTCACTGCCACCACCAAAGTGATCGTAACACTCGCAGACACCGCCCACTCGGAGCGAGCGATAGCAAGTTCCGCAGTTACGAATAGCCTGTGTAGATGGCAGTCCTGGCATTGCAGTGTAGATATGTGGTGGAAGGCACACCGTTGTGTCCACGGAACTTGGCTCAGGAAGCGTAGCAATGCCGCGCGGCGAACCTTGCCCGAAGACGCCTTAAGGGTCACCAGCTGTAAAAATGCAGAGACGGTTATCGAACGTCCTTCCGCTGTCGCTGTCACCACCAAAGCACTTTGGAAGCTTCACTTGGCAAGTGAAGCTTCCAAAGCTTGAGCTGCTCTAGTTTGACGACCAAAACATCTCATGGCAAGAGTTCTGGGAGCAGTTCGAACAAGTGATGCACACAAACGACCAAATAACAACGCTGGACAATTTTGGGTACCTTAGGTTTGTGGCGAAAGGTGAGGCAGCAATGGCCATCAAGGGTTTGCTTCTCACATCACGGTGCTATGAGGACGCTGTGCTTCTGTTGAAAAGCGATTCAGCAACGAGAATTTCGTGGTCCAGACACACATGCGGAAGCTCTTGGATCTGCACCCGGTGAGAGACATCAACGACGTCTGGGGTTCTCGTAGGCTCTACGACACCGTAGTCTCCCATCTGCGAGGATTGGAGGCACTAGGACTGAAACAGCGGACCTTCGGTGCTATGCTGTTTCCAGTGGTTCAGTGTGCACCGCCGAAAAAAATTCTGCTGGAATTTAATAGACGATAGTGAACAAACAGACATCGGACACTTCAAATAGAAGAATATCCATGAGATTTGATGATTCTCAGAAATGAAGAGCAGAAACAAACACCACTGAACGAGGTATCGTGCCACTATTCTCGCAACTGCTTGACTTTTTGAGAGTGGAAGTCGAGAGCCACGAGAACCTAGCTGCCCAATAAGTTATGGACATGAAACAGCGGCCGCGTGAATTAAGAACGGAGAGCAGTGAGAAAAAACGAAGTCATGGAGAATGCCATCAATCCACAGCAGCGATACTACATCAATCGAGATCCTCTAGCTGTTTTCCATGCAAACAAAGAAAAACATATGACAGCTGCCTGCCGTGCTAACATTTTGATTGAAGAAAAGAAGAGAATGCTGCGTTTGGGAAGACAATGCTTTCGCGGCCTGAAACCTTATCACTGCTCTAATGAGTGTAAAAGTAGCATGCAATGCACAAAGTGTTCGAGAAGGCATGCGACAATGATGTAGGATCTGGACTACAAGTCACCCAAGGTAGACTAAAACGCGACGAGCATTCCAGTGAATCTGGAATCCACAAGTGGAGCCGCCAGGCCAAACGTCCTGCTTCAGACCGGAACGATCTGGTGTGCAGGGGAAAACAATGCGAGCCTTTTTCGACAGCAGGAGCCAACGTTTGTTCGTTACTGAGAATGTTTCTGAACGACTCAAAGGCTAACTCTTGGGACATGAGACGCTGACAGTCGGTGTGTTCGGTGGACATCAGTTCGAACGAGTATTCAACAGGGTGCTCATCTTGGCCCAAGACGACAAGATCTACCAGCTTGTGGCTCTTCAAACAGACATAATATGTGATCCAAAGATACCGATCCCAGAACCCAGCGTGAAGAAATTACTTGGGCAATTGAAAATGGTCGACACAACTAACGATGAGCAACGAGGCGATATTGATCTTCTCATCAGCTCAGAGCATTACTGGGATCTTGGGACGGGAAAGACCAGATCATCAGAAAAGAAAGAGTCAAAGCGGTAAAAACAGCATTTCGATGGAGTATTCAGGGCCCCTTGTGAACAACAGTTCAAGACATACACTGTACGCAAACGATTGTCCTGAGCATGTCCGTGGCAGAGTCTGAAAGAGCAAACTGCTTGGAACGGTTTTGAACACTTAGAGTTTTTTTAAGTGACCGAAGACGAAGGAAACAACTCGACAGAGCAATGAGTGCTCAACTCCTTCAAAGAGAGCATCAAACGAGTTAGTTCACGATACGAAGTTGCTCTTTCCTGGAAGCCAAACGTAAATCTCGACAGCAACAGAGAAATAGCAGAACAACGTCTAGTACAGCTGGCCATTCATCTTCAAAGAACACCAGACCTGCTTTACGGATACGGCAATGTCATGAGACAGTACTGCTCAGAAGGAGTGGCAGAACTGGCAACGAGGAACGAAATTGAAGATCGGATGCCGACCTGCTAATGTCACATCAGGCTGGGATTCGATAGTCAAGCAGTACAACTAGGCTTCGCATTGTATTTGACGCTTCCTTGCACGGACAGAAGTCGAAGTCTCTTAACCAAAACATGTAAAGCAGACCTAACTTGACCGCTGACCTCGTTGCGTTGTTGCTCAATTTTAGAACTTAGAGGATAGCTTTGGTGGCAGATATAAAAGAAGCATTCCTGCAGATTGCGATACACGAAGATGACGGGACGCATTGCAATTCCTCTGGTACCAGACAACGCCGGAAGCAAATGAACCAAGACTGAGCGTGCAAGTTTAGGCGCATGACAAGAGTTCCATTTGGAACAACAGCCAGCCCCTTCCTGCTCGTAGCTATACTCAAGCATCATCTGAAGAACGTGGAAGAATACCCAAATTCGGCGACGCTGCTGGCAGATTGTTTGTCGATGACCTTCTGATGGGAGCAGAAACTGAAGAGGAAGCACTAAGGCTTTACCTTGACCCAAAATCTATCTTCGGAACTGCTTCCATGACACTTCACAAGTGGGCCTCAAATAACCAGACCATGGACAAATGCTTTGTGAGTGATTGTTGCAAAGTCATGCACTTGGGATATCTTACGGGGGTGTCCTAAAGGTGTTAGGATTGACGTGGAACTCAAACACGAATCACCTGACTTTCACCACATCTACGACTACACAACCAGATCCTGGGATGAGTAGTCTAAGCTCATTATAACAGACCTGGTTACAACAGACATTTGGATATAGCATACCAATTTGTGAAGTTCGGTTCGTTTTCCTCTATGTACCATTGACTCAACTTCATATTTGCATACAACATACTCCTTTTACAACAGACCGAAATGTCAGTAAAAATCAAGGTCTCTCATAATCAGCTTAGACTGTACAAAGAGATTTGTACTCAAGACAACAGCACGTACTATGTACGACCCCCCTTGTATGGTTGTCACAATTCACTGTTAGAGCAAAAGCTCTATTCCAAAAACTCTGGCAAAGACACATAGAATGGGATGAAAAGCTGCCAAAAGATTCGGATGCAGACTGGCCGGGGTGATGGGGTTTGTGAAGAAAACCACCCTGCACGTATTTGCTGACGCCAGCCCGAGCATATACGGAGCAGTGGTCTATATGTATCACAGATGCTAATGGGTTTTTTATGTCGACCATCTTGATGAGCAGGTCGCGAATTGCTCCAATCAAGCAGCTGACACTAGCGTGGCTAGAGTTGATGGCATGTCTGTTAGCAGCCAGGCTGCAGAGCTATGTCATGAGTAGTTTAAAGCAAATGCCAGACAAGTCATTTCTGGACTGACTCAACTATCACTCTATTGGGTTACAGGAGAACCATATTTATTTATTTATTTATTTATTTATTTATTTATTTCAATACCTTCAAGGCCACACGGCATTACACAGAAGGGAGTGGGGGAAAAACAAATGTACAAAAAATAGAATTCAACACATATTAGTTAACATAATAGTTTTCAATGGCAGACTTGAATGCAGGAGCGTCTGGGATTGTGGCGATGGAGGTGGGCAGGTGGTTCCAGTCATTAGTAGTTCTTGGGATAAAAGAATCAAAAAAGAATCCACTCCATATCAGTGGAAGCCATTTGTGCAGAACCACATTATAAATATTCAATGCCTCACAGACATCTCTTCTGGGGACACTGCCCCGGAGTGGAAAATCCTGCAGATCTCATGACAAGAGGGATCAGTGCTAATCAGCTGGTTGACAGTTCTTTCTGGGGGGAAGGAACTTTGTGGATCAAAATGCATGAGAACTTCTGGCCACACCCCCTACTATTAGGTGACTCTCAACCAAGAGCATTGGAGAAAATAACTACAGTCCTTCAAGCAGCGAGTAACACTGCGATTCGTGCAGTGTGGAACATTGAACACTACAGCGATCACCACATCTCTTTCTGGTGACAGCATGGATTATATGCTATGTCAACAAGCTAAGGCATCTGTACAGTAACACCGGTAAACTAACTGCCACTGAGCTTGATTAGGCCAAAAAGTACTGGTTACGACACGCGCAGCAAGAGGACCTTCACTGTCAAATCGAGTGTACTAAAAAAGGTGAACGCATCCCTTTGGACTCGCCTCTGCAAAACATTTCTGTGCATGTCGACGACGGTAGCCTTCTCCGTGTCACCGGGAGGCTTCAACATAGTGACAATCCGTACACTGAACGACACCCGAGCGTACTGACCAGTAGACATTGCTTGAGAGAAATGCTTGACCGACAGTCTCACTGCCTAGTAATACACAGAGGAGTACGAGATACATTGGTACAACTCGGAGAAAGCTACTGGGTGGTACGAGCACGACAGCTGGTAAAAAGGAAAATAAAGGAATGCATAACATGCCTACGCTTCAATGCCTGCCCGTCGACAGAAGTGACAGCTCCGCTTCCAATGGAGACCGAGTTGACACAAGCTCTACCATTCGAGGTCAGTGGGGTTGATTTTGCAGGGCTGCTGCTGGTAAAGGAAGAACACAGACTTCACAAAACCTTTTTGACTTCATTCACATGCACCGTCACCAGCGCGATCCACTTAGGGCTCATTCGAGACATGACAACTGACTTATTTTTGATGGCACTTAGGCACTTCATCTCACGAAAAGGAATTCCTAGTGTCATTTATAGCGATAATGCCTTATCGTTAAAGAAAGCTAACAGAAATCTTTAACTTTCAAGCGCTATCGTGATCCTGAGGCTCTGATTACTTTTCCAACGCACGAATCGTCTGGAAGTTTATCCCATGGTGGGGCGGATTTTACAAGCGCCTCATCGGATGAACGAAACTCTCATTGAAAAAAGCAATTGGTGCCAGATTTTTGAATTTCAACGAATCACAAAACAACACTGACCGAAATTGGGGCGGTGTTGAACTCGAGACCGCTGACACACGTTTACGATGACCCCGAAAAACCAGAGCCACTTTGTCCCTCTTTTTTTTTGATGGGCAGACGACTGACCATGCTGCCACGCATGGAGAAGAGACAAGTTGACGGTGTTTACACCGAACTCGGCAAGCTCTGGACTCACCAACAACGGACAACAGAAACAACTGGCATCGATGGAGTAGGGAATACTTGGCGGAGCTTTGGAACGCGCAAGGCCAAAAGGAGCGTCGGGAAAAAACCCTTGAAAAAGGTGAATTGGTTCTTAGGGACAGCTTCCGGCCTCGACAACACTGGAGTATCGCTAGGATACAGGTGTTTCCAGGAAGAGACGGAAAGGTGCGATCATGTCTACTCAAAATGCCGGGAGGCTTAACGCTGAAAAGACCTATACAGGTTTTGTACCCCCTACAGATTTCATAAAAAAATTGATGCTCTCACTTTGGGGGGAATTCGTTGCAAAAAAAAAAGTGAGAAAGAAAAGAATGAGGATGGATAATGGGCAGCGAACAACTAAAAGCTGCCAGCTTATACATTTCTTGTAAATAGCTCTAAATAAAAAACGTTCAGCCTTTCCACTCTTATGTAGAAGGAAGACCAGCGAAGCTGTACTCGATACACTGTTGCAACGCGCACGTGCCCGATTCCCTCTTCTCGCCCGACGCCGCCAATCGTGGATACGCCTCCGGCGAACCAGAGTTGGCCGCACACGGCGCACGTGACGCCAAACGGATTCTTCACGAACTGCCTCCGGAACCTCGCCGTCACACCCGGGAACTGTTCAGCCGGCGTGGAGTGCAGTCGTCGCCGGGCCTCGCGCTTGCACTTCGCCTCCGTGGCACAATCGTCGTCCGTGGCGTTGGCCCGCCGGTGCCCTTTACATCGCTGGTTCTCTTCTCGGCAGCGGCTTTCCAGGCGAGCGATGTGCTCTTTGGCAATGCAATCTGAAGCACTGGACGCAGTGGAAGTAAAGGCGACAGCGGCTTTGCGGCAGTTGCAGACCCATTCGTGCTGCTGCATACGTCGCCGCTCCTTCCGCAGCCTGTCTCCTTTCCGCAAAAGAGCGCACGGCCGACCCATCACGAGTCCAAACCGAAACTGATAAGAGCGTAGGAAACAGCGCGCAAAACACGAGGGCGAAGAAACAAACGTGACGAGCGCTGCGTTCGTTACTCATGCTTCTTCTTCGTCGGTCTGTTTTTCGCACTGTTTTCTACGATGAATTTCCACCAACGCGCCCAACTATCCATTCTTCTATTATAGCTGGAAAGGTTGCCGCCATCTACGAGCGACGGCGGATACCATACTGGTTGTGTGCTTGCCACTGTCGCTTATTGATGGCGGTAGCTGTCGAGATAGGTTTGTGTCGACATACACGGACACAATCCTGGGGAACCTAGCCCTTAACAGCTCCGCTGTAATAGTTTGCATTAATTAACAATACCATCTTCTATTTTGAGCAAAAACATTTGTGCTATTAAATTAATTTTAGTTAAGTAACTGCAGCAGTAAAATAAAACTACTGTGCGAGTGTTGTTTTTTCACAGTATTACAAGCAAAATATTGATCACAGTTTCTTTATATTGCTTCTTAACTTATCATTTTTGCTTCCCTCACCTACAGTAAGTTTTATTCCCGATTCACTCCCTGCATCTGATGTGTTATTTTGAAGACACCTCACGGAAGAGCATGATAAGCTTTGAGAGGCTTTGTGTGCTCCTCTGGCGTAAATCGTTGGGATGGGATGCGTGCACCGCCTGGTGTTGCAGGCGAAGAGCCAGACAGCCCGGCCCTGCTGGGCAAGAGCGGTATCTGACAGGCATTACCCTAGAGGAGGCACTGATAAAAAGCCAGGAGGTGACATCACTCCAATCTCCGACTTTCGGTATTTAAAAAAAAGAGTCGTAGTGCATTCGCAATTGAGTTAAATAAACGTGATTTACGAAGGCCGTTATAAATATTATAGAAATGTCGCTTAGAAAGCTTCTAAATTTCATCATTTTTAACGTCGCAAATAAAAAGAAGCGGGAAGGTGAGAAGAGGGAAAGAACAAAAATGAAAAAGGCATGCGCGTACGGGAATTTTCGTTTTCTATTGTATTTTTTTGTGTCCATGACTACAACTTGCATCGTTTTACAACAAAAAATACTACCTTTGGGGTGTCAGTGCCTCTTCAAAAAACACATGCAAAGGAAAAACAAAAATTTTGAAAACTGCCTGGATGGGAAAGGATGCCATAAAAGGAATTTATAACAGTAAAAAGAATGTTTGAGCTATATTTACAGTGCAATACAAATTTGTGGCTGGTAAACGTGAAAGCTGCCACCGGTCATGTGGTAGACCTGTGCGCCAGTGCCACTGCTGGAGCCATTCAGCACTGCCGCTGAAGTCCCCTGAACCCCTATGCCACCGCTGCACGCTGCCGGTTGAACTGATTGAATGTGCTTCTTTACGACACCACCACCGCCACCATAGGGGAACACTTCAGTGCGCCACCGCCGTCAATTTCTGAGCGGCACACAGGTCTATCACGTGGTGATGCGCTCTCGGGAGTTTCCTTTGGGCTCTGAAAGTTACCTATTAATCTTCATTCTTTTGTTGCACTTCAAACGAAAATTAATAAGTAAATTTTAGAGACCATAGGAAGCACCATGTTACCATAGTGGCGACTTTTCCGCGGGCTCCTGGGGGTGCCAACTGCAAATTTATTTCGTGGCGTAAATGCAACTTTAAATTTTTTTTTCTTGTGGTAAATCCGTTTTAAAGCATCCTTTTATCGTCCAGGCTGCTTAAAAAGATTTTTTTTGCCTGTGTTTTTTAAGACTTGTACTGGCCTGAGCCAGCTAAGTACTTCCTTGGGAAATATTGCCTTGCCAAGCTGTGCCCACAGTTACCGGACCGTCTATCGACCAAAACGTGGCTGCCCGTGAATGTGCATAGACTGAAGAGGAAAGACAAGCTAGAAAAGCGGCCACATATCATGAACCTAAAGACCATCTTAACATAAGGAGAGAAGAACAGGTTAGGCAGTTGACTGGGAAGCCCTGATAAATAAAATTATTGTTCAATGCGAAGGCCATGCCTTTCGGAGGACACGCAATCAACAGCTGAAAGTAGTGACTCTCGGTGAACTCTGTAACTCAAGGTCTTTACTAGGCTCTTTTCTTTTTTTTTTATTAGTGGTTCCTCTTGTGATTGTAAAAATGTGACAAACCTGCATGTATTGACACAGTTTGTTCCCAAAGCTAACTGTTCATAGTCTGGACTGCAGGTTTTAATATTCACAAGGCAGGGTTGCCTGAGGAGGGATTGGTCCCCCAAATTTTGTCTACAGTGGAGTGTCCATATCAGCGAGATATGACTGCATCACATGTTGAAATACTTGAAGGAAGATTTTCTATCTGACCTGCCATAATCAGTCATTGGCCAATTAGAAAAAGTCATATCTGACAGTCTCCAGAAATATTGTTTTTGTTGAGCTCTCTGAATAATGAGGTATTCAGCCTCCAATTAGTATTCAGATCCAGGTTTTCACTTTTCAAGACTACACTTGTGACAAAAAAAAATTCTGGTACCGGAATACTTCCCAAAGCAAGATTAGTAAAGTGTAATTTAGAAATAAAAAATACAAATTGTTTCCTACGATTTTTATTTTTTTTAAACTGAAGGCTCTCCTTAATGGTGCCAGTTGCATTTGACTGCTTCTGTGAACCGAATTCCAAAACACAGCAAAATATTATACTACAGCTGTGGCAAAACTGCATGAATGACTACTCTTTTCCAGACTAACTGGCTATCTTGGTTGGGCTTTCCTTGTGTGTCAATACATATGATATTTTCTTGTAGGTGATGGAGCCACATTGATAGGGGAAACCAGCTACCCACTGAAAGTCACTGAAGACATCTGGTTTGGATGCTGTTCCTGCACCTATGTCACCAGAGATCAGCGTGAAATTGTGAGCCACCTTTCTGCCCATGGTGATGAACAATCCAAGTGTCAGCATCCTCTCATGCCTGGCTCTGAGTTCCAAGTGCTCTGCAACACTCGAAAGCACAAGAGTGAAAAGCCATACAAGTGCAAGCTTTGCCCCCAAACATTTGCTTATAATTCCCTTCTGACCCATCATAATCGAACACACACTGGTGAAAAGCCATTTAAATGCATGCAATGCCCCAAAACCTTTACTCAGAGTAGAAGTCTGATCTACCACAATCAAGCACACACAAGTGAAAAGCCATTTAAGTGCAAGCTTTGCCCCAAAGAGTTTGCTTGCGATTCCCTTCTAAACTACCATATTCATTTGCACACTGCTGAGAAGCCATTCAAGTGCAAGCAGTGCCCCAAAACCTTTGCTAAGAGTAGCAAACTGATCTACCATAACCAAATGCACACAGGGGAAAAGTTATTTAAGTGCAATCAGTGCTTTAAAGCCTTTGCTCGAAATTCCCAACTGACAGAGCATAATCGAAAGCACACTGGGGAAAAGCCATTTAAGTGCATGCAGTGCCCCCAAGCCTTTTCTTACAATTCTTCTCTGCAAAGACATAATCGAACGCACACAGGTGATAATTTATTTAAGTGCAAGCGGTGCGCCTTAACATTTGCTGAGAGTAGCAAACTGATCTACCACAACCAAACACACAAAGGTGAAAAGCCATTTGAGTGCAAGCAGTGCTTCAAAGCCTTTGCTCGAAATTCCCAACTGACTGAGCATAATCGAAAGCACACTGGTGAAAAGCCATTTAAGTGCACGCAGTGCCCCCAAGCCTTTTCTTACAGTTCTTCTCTGCAAAAACATAATCGAACACACACAGGTGAAAAGCCATTTAAGTGCAAGCAATGCCCCCAAGCCTTTTCTTGCAATTCTCCGCAAAGCCATAGTCAGATGCACACAGGTGAAAAGCCATTTAAGTGCAAGCAGTGCCCCCAAGCCTTTTCTCACGATTCTTCTTTGCGAAGACATAATCGAATGCACACAGGTGAAAAGCCATTTAAGTGCGAGCAGTGCCCCCACACCTTTTCTCACAATTATGCTCTGCGAAGACATAATCGAACGCACACAGGTGAAAAGCCATTTGAGTGCAAGCAGTGCTTCAAAGCCTTTGCTCGAAATTCCCAACTGACTGAGCATAATCGAAAGCACACTGGTGAAAAGCCATTTAAGTGCACGCAGTGCCCCCAAGCCTTTTCTTCCAATTCTTCTTTGCAAAGACATAATCGAAAACACACAGGTGAAAAGCCATTTAAGTGCGAGCAATGCCCCCAAGCCTTTTCTCGCAATTCTCTGCAAAGCCATAGTCAGATGCACACAGGTGAAAAGCCATTTAAGTGCAAGCTGTGCCCCCTAGCCTTTTCTCACGATTCTTCTTTGCGAAGACATAATCGAACGCACACAGGCGAAAAGCCATTTAAGTGCAAGCAGTGCCCCCAAGCCTTTTCTCATGATTCTTCTCTGCAAAGACATAATGAAATGCACGAAAAGCCATTTAAGTGCAAGCAGTGCCTCCAAGCCTTTTCTCACGATTATTCTCTGCGAAGACATAGTCAAATGCACACAGGTGAAATGTTATTTAAGTGCAAGCGGTGCCCTTTAACCTTTGCTGAGAGTAGCAAACTGATCTACCACAACCGAACGCACAGAGGTGAAAAGCCATTTAAGTGCAAGCAGTGCTTCAAATCATTTGCTAGAAATTCCCATCTAACAGAGCATAATCGAATGCACACTGGTGAAAGGCCATTTAAGTGCAAGCAGTGCCCCCTAACCTTTTCTCACAAATCTTCCCTGCAAAGACATAATCATATACACACTGGTGAAAAGCCATTTAAGTGTGAGCAGTGCCCCCAAGCATTTTCTCACAATTCCTATCTGATGCAGCATAATAAAAGGAAACACTGGTGAGAAGCCATTTAAGTGCAAGCAGTGCCCCCAAGTCTTCTCACAATTCTCTGCAAAGCCATAATCGAATACTCTGGTGAAAAGCCATTTAAGTGCAAGCGGTGTCGCATAGCCCTTTCTCTAAATTCGTCCCTGCAAAGCCATAATCGAACACATACAGGTGAAAAATCATTTAAGTGCAAGCAATGCCCCCAAGCCTTTTTCATAATACCAGTCAGATCCCCCATTATTGAAAACAGTGTTTAAGGGGAATGAGGGTCTTTAACTTTTTTATTTTTCATTTATCGTGCTGAAATGTAGTATACTGATGTATTTCAGTGGTGATTTTAAGTGGATTTAGTTTTCAGATAGTTTTAGTAAATCCTGAGCTATCAATAAATACTGCAAACGACTAAATTTTCGCGAGGACCTAATTTTCGCGAATTTTGCGAATCTCCTACAATTTGCGAAAAATACATCCCGTGAAAAACTCGGGCAATATGTGAATGCTACGGAAGCTACACTCGATTTGCGAAAATTAGAACCCGCAAATAATTTCAAGTTTCAAGCTTTGGCTCGATTCGCAAACATTTGAGCCCGTGAAAATTAAGTCGTTTACAGTATTAATTTCAATTAAGCCTTCGTTATGAGTTGTTAGCATAAAATTATTCAGAAGATATCAGAAATGTTTACAGCCCAATAAAATCTGTTTCAAGTTCCTCCAGTCTCCGACGTCTCTTTTTCATATACCATTTCGGAATGCAGCGCAATGCCATCACATGCATTAAACAGCACAAAAAACATGATGTCACCTCCTACGTACGTAAACCAGCTGGAGGGCAAGAATTGGGCTACGGTCAGAACCGACGCCAGAAGCCGCCACTCTCTTATGTGCCGCGGTAGGGACTTCCACTTGGTAGTCAATTTCTTGGCAAAAAAACTGCTACAGTGGGATCCCGGCATCAGGCAGGATGGCGGAGTGGGAACATTCTAAAGAGCTGCTCTGCCCGCAGCGCATTTGCTTCAGCGAAGATATGCAATGGAAAAGAAAGACAACACAGCGGAAGCCTTGACTGTCAACCTTTATTCCTGAGGAACAGTGAAACAGAAGTCTGATTACATACTTATTATCTACAGATTTTGTTCGAGACAAACAACATAAAAATAAAAATATTGCTGCGATAGAGATATGCTAGTAAATTATTTACACAATGCAAAAATAATCGCACATTGAGCAACGATTCAAAGGACGCTGTAAACAAGGCAAATTCATGGCCGAGTGTGTATTCATTGACACTTAAGCAGGGGACACATAAGAGATGAAAACGGGCACCACGCGGCAGTATATTAGCAACCGGTGCTGGCGTCCTTACGTCACTTCCACGCGGCATGGTGGCGCTTTGATCTGGTTCATACAGATAAAGTAAAGCCCCTCTATACGGAAAGGTAGGGCAGACCATTGTCTGAAATGGGGAGAAGAAATTTTTCCTCGCCCATGCCCTTTCTCTCTCAAAAGTTCTCTTTCCCCTCGCTTCAGTTGGATTGGGAACGACACGTGACCGTTGTTTTCCCATCATCCCGCGCGATTCGGTGGTCTGCTAGAAACCGGCGCCATCTTTGTGCGAGGCGTGGCGGTGGCTCCATTGCTTACAACCAAACCAAAAGTTTTTTTTTTTTTTTATTACGATTTTTGCGGCAATGCGGTGCCATCATGCTGCGCTGTGCATTGTACAAACAGCATTGCGAAAAAGAAGATGCATTTTGCCGTTCCGACGAGAAAAGAAAATCTTCAGCAACGAAGACAATGGCTACACCGGATCAGTCGGAAAAGTTTTGACAGCCTCCGACGGAGAGTTTGCGAGGTAAGTCATTGTAAAGCTCTGGATCGCACAACTTTTTTCTCTTTTGGACTCGCCAATGAAGAACACCTAATTAGAGCATGAGACAAGACAAACACGGAACTAAGTTATCGTATTTCAGGAAAAATGAATCCGACCTTCTGAGCAACGAAGTGAGTCTCCCAGCTCTAAAACAAACAGTAAATTGAGCTCGTTTACTGCTAATGCCTTTCCCACATGCCACAAAGTACACAAAAGGTTGTGACATTGTCTCTGCGAACAAGGATGCACGTTCTTGTGAAGAAACAATGTCGAAGCGGACCAGAAGGAAGTGGCGTCGAGGAAACCTAGTAGCAGGAGCATTGCAATGAGATGCAGTCACGAATGTGCGATAAATGCTTTTGTTTTGAGGTTGTTTTTTTTTCTTGTACCACTGGTTTTGTATAAATTTACGTGTGATCGAAAAAAATGAGATCATTTATAATTCTCTACAATGAAGAACTAGAATGCAGCTCTTGAGGAGGAGGATGGGGAGGGTACAGAGGGGAGGGTATGCCCCTCCTCTTCTTCTGCTCCCCTCCCATTTAGCGGAAAATGTATGCCAAATTTCCGGTTAAATGCAGCAAACATTTCCTCGCTACATTTAGTGGGGAAAAATTGCCGCTAAATCTAGCGGGAAATTTAGAAAAAAATTTGCAGCTAAGTTTAGCAAAAAAAATTATCGAAAATTTCACTGCTAAATTTAACGCGGAAATCTTTCCACTAAATTTATCGGGAAAATTCAGCAACAAGTTTCCCGCTAAATTTAGCGGGGAAACTTTACTTGCTATATTAAGCGGCGGTCACACTGACGCCGACGCCGCTCAACTTGGAGACTGGCGCCTAAGAGCTGCGCTCTAAAAAAAGGTTGTTTCGGATCCTCAGCCACAGCAGAATACTAAAATCCGACGACATCCTGAATAAAAAGGGTTGCTTTGCCGTGCTTAGGATTTTTTTTTTTTTTGTGTAGTAGGTTGTGTATGACGAGAAATGTACAGTAGTTATTTTGTGACGGGCATCTTTGTAGTTGAACAGAACTTTTTCTGGAAAGGGCAACTAGGCCAGATGATGACAAATGTGCAATATGTTGCCTTGTAGCCATACATATTTTGTTGTGTTCATCGTTGTATGTGATTTGTCCTCTGTAATTAATAGAACAATTTATTGTTCTTTAATCTTGCTGAAGTCTTTGCTGAAGGATATCCCTGTCCTCATTTGTAACTCACGGAGTAAGGTACGCCTGCAGGTGTGTGGCAAAGCTTCTACGCCTTCGAAGTGAACTCAAGGGCGAAATTCACACGTGAGAACATCAAAACAATATCTCGAAACACAGTAAGGATGAAAGAGGGCCTCTCTAATAAATGGGATAAATGAGAAACGCGTTAGATGGCAACCGAGAGCGCGCTATATTTTATTTTAACTGAGGGGAAACCAGTAAGTGTATTTTATGTCTAGTTATATGCACAAGGTGCGTGAATAGCAGACGTAGCATATTCCTCCGTGCACATGTGAACAGTTGCAGGTAGTATTCAACATTTATAAAATGTGTACAAAGTAAACCAAGCTGCTGGATTGACAAGACGATCCGTGATGCTAGAAATTACCGAAAAGTCCTGGTTTTGCACGCGTTGTGGTGTCTTTTATTTGCCTAACTCGAGTGGTGCCGAGTCAGCAAATACACTTCGTTCAAGATACTAAAACTTTTAGTAGAGCATACGCTAAGGATTGCGAGTCATGCGGGTGCTTGCCTGATCCATGCTCAAAGCGATGACACGAGCTCCTACTATAGCAATGCAGTCCGTGCCCATGAAACTATTTACACGCAGGGAGAGGTAACCATGTTGAATTAACCTGAGACTGGGGTAGAGAAGAAACATCAAAACGAAGAAGGGACAGAAAATAGACAGGACGACGTCTCAAGAGACATTGTCCTGAGACGTCGTTCTGTCTATTTTCTGTCCCTTCTACGTTTTGATGTTTCTTCTCTACCCCAGTCTCAGGTTAATTCAACATGGTTAATATTCACCAGCTCGCCTGCACCCTTAAGATTTTTTCTAGGGAGAGGTACATTTTATCTTGTGCCTGCTCTCAGCTCTTGCTGCAATAAACGGGTAAATGCAATATATTTTTGCAACACATGCTGATGTCCAAAAATACTCACAAACTACATGGGCATTTTTTTCAAATTTAAAACGTGAGCAATCGGTGGATTTGGAGAAACCTTGTCTTTGCACCCGAGCAATTCGAACTCTGCTCGCAACATGACATTTGTTGATCGAGATGTCCACCTGTGCTTTACAACTCCAATAAAGCACACACGCTAGTTCCTTCACGTTAAAAAACAAAACTGCCTTTATATTTAAAAAAAAAAAAAATCCTTTAGTCCGCCATGTGCAAGAGCAAACAAGTACAGCCCAGCAAGCAGGCATACGCAAGACTTGTGGACCTCGCACAAACATGGCAGTGGAGGAACATGGTGCAGAAGGAGGTCAAAGAGGATTGCCCTTGATGGAAAAGAGGAAAACTCGAGCACAGGAGGAATGGCGCTACCTTTCGGTATATAGGGACCTTACGACAAAGCCATGCGGTGCCTCTGTGGCACGGCAAACAGCGTACTGTGCCCAGTTGCACTGCTCATGTGTTCCGTGCTTTAGCTTCACCAACACTTTTCACTCTTATTTAAAAAATGTAAGAATGTTAGCCATCAGAGAAGCAGAAGAACAAACTACCTTGTGTTAAACAAAAAAAAGCAAACAGAATTTTCCAGAAAACATTGGCCACTACGGTTCGAATATTCTGATGCAGAGAGCCTGACAACACGGAAACAACTGCCGGGAAAATGGACACGGAGCAAGAAAATATTGCAAACACCTAACACAAAAGAAAGTAAGATCTGAAAGCAGGTGTCGTATAAATACATGAGTGTGACGATGCCAGTGCAAAGAGGCAACGCAAAAACGCGGAGTATAAGCATGTTAGTTTCAAATTCTCCACAACTTTCGTCAATGCAGTCCCGAAGGGGCATTCAAAATGGGTACAGTGCCAATTTATAGCAAAACCTGGTGGGCAGTGCGAGGAATTCAACTAGCAACATCCCAATCGGTAGCAGGAAGCGTTGCTTTGTATACACAGACTCTGCAATTGGTTTCCCACCGAGGTAACTGCTAAAATGAAGTCTTAGCACTCTACAGGGTGTCAAAATGAAAATCTTGGAAAAAGTTACTTCACACAACTCAAGGCCCATTCAAACACCTGCGTCTGCCTACGACCGACTGAGACGACACCGGTTTTCAAGCCTCTTGTGACTGCTCACGACCGGCTGCACAGCAATGCACAAAGTTATATGCCCTCACAAGAAGCTTAAAAACAGGTTTCGGTCATAAGCATGTGGACCACCCGTTACTTCAGTACCATAATCCGCAGAAGCTGAAAGAAACAATGGTGTAAAAGTCGAAATTGCCAACCTTTTTGTTTTTTAATAGTCAAGACTGAATTCTGGTCATACATTAACTTTTGGCACGCTTATATCTTCCTTCCACATAGATAAGAGTAGTATCAAAAGAAAACAATGAAGACATTTTTACAAGCCTATTAGACCTCGCCTCAATGAGCATACCTCAGGCAAGTTCAAGGAAGTGGAACAAGAGCTAGAGCATGACCCAGTGCACATTCAGGTGCAGAACACAGAGTAGCTGCTTTGAAAATCATCAAACAATGTCTCCTCTTCAGTGGCCCAGCCTTTAGATCACAGCTGGAGAAGAATCATTTTCTACGCACCAATGCATTTGTATGACAAATGATGGCATTCGGACAAAAGGCTAGAGAGCAATGCCAAAC